CTAACTGGCATATCATGGACAGGGAGTTGACTGATAAGGCACTGGTAGGCAGTGAATGCTGCGCTAAATGGGATTACATGGACTGTGCGCTCGAGTTGACTAACAAGGTAAATTATTATTAGTTACAATGTATAAGATAGATTATAAATAATGCTTAAAAAATAATAATTAATTTGTGATTTTGAATTAAGACTTATGATAATAATAATAAATTAAAACTAAAATAGTTATAAAGAGTGGGACCAGTAAAAATTTATCAAAAATCTAGTAAACTTTACAAACGTATTATTTTTAATTACAGTTCAGTGTATATAAATTTATGTTTATTGACATTAATTATAGTAATACCTTATATTATAAATTATATTAGTATTGAATAAATAAGTTATAAGCTCAATATTAAATATAAATATTGTAGTTCAGGCAATTCTTTATTTCAAACGTTTATTTAATTAACATAAAACTATAAGTATTAAGTTCGTGTATGTTTTAAATACAGTTTGTATGTTTTAAATATTTGTATTTTTAAAATAAATTTAGTTAAGCTAATTTATTTGTTAAAATTATTAATTAATTAATGAATAGTTACCTGATTTAGTCAGTTGAAAATTAAAGTTTAAATTGTATTTTAAATAATACCTTATTCTGTACCAGTCCATTAATATTTTATTGGTATTAATTTTAATTTATTATAATATATTTATTCATCCAAATAATATTAAAAGTTTAAACGCTTATTAATAATTACAAGAATATGATAAAAAAAATTAGTATTATAACTATATTATATCACATAAAACTTTTTAAGCTGTAACTTATATACAAAAAAACATTAAATATTTTTAAAAGACAATATTATTAATATATGGAAACTATATTACTATATCATTATGTTTCTACTAAATTGTTCAATATAACTTTTTTAAAATTTATTTTTCTCAATAGTCGGTCACCAAATGCTCTGAACGAGAATCCTTGGAATTACGGCAATATTTCGGGAATTTGGAGACATTTCTGGGAAACCACTCGTGCGCGGAGTACACCAAACACAGCCCTAACTGTTTGCTACCTGTGCTGCAAAACATTGAAATTACCGAAAGGCAACCCTTACCCGACCCACTGGCTATTGACTGTCTAATGAATATTAACCCGGATGCCCGTTACACGTGCAGTTTGGTGGCTCAAATGAACTGGAACATTACCAAGATACATAATGCTACAACAATGCAACTATGTTGCGCTACCTGGCAGGATATTGATTGTCTGGATGAGATATCTGGCATCAGGTGTATTAACAGTGAGCTGGCAGCGTCGGAAAGGTATTTTAAGCTGGTAAGTTTTTGGTATAATAATAAATTTATTATAGAACTAATTTATTAATAAAATAATGTATTATATTATTGGAGATTAATTTTTAAAAATCTTTACTTAGTTTACGTAAAAACTGTACAGTCGACTTAAAGTAATTATAAACTTAGGGTACAATACTTATATCTTATTAAAATGGGATAATAAGCTTAATGTCTATTATTTAAATAATTTTTATTATTTATAAATACCTAGTTGTATTTATCATCTAAATTCTAAATGATTTAAATTACTATAATATTCATTTTATTAATTCATTGTGCATGGGAAATATAAATTAAAAATTATTGTTCACATTTTCATAATAATTATTGATACCTATATTTATGATATAATTATATTTTTATAGATTGAGGACTGGCTGGAGGATAACGCCTGTGAGGACTACCCCTACCATAGCTACGAGTGCTCGCAATCACGGCCCCACCGAAAGCCCAAAATAACTACATTTCCCCTAATTGTGGCACAAAATCAAACCAAACGTACAATAAATCCCAACCCAGACATGACAATTGAGCTAGTTACATCTACAAATGATAAACCCGCGGTACTACCAGTCCCTGGTGACCACCCCCAGCCCATGCCACGCAAACAGTACCCAGGACATATAGATCATGAGTTTCAAATGGAAATGGCACACCACCAGGGTCACGTGTTGGAGAACATGATGGCTATATTCCCGTACCTGTTAATGATCATGGTCCTTTTGGCACTGGTATTGATCACCATAATTGTGATTCAATGCGTTATTATCCGCAAACAGTTGAGACACGAGAGATACTTCGCTAATATCAAGCACCAGGGTTATCATAAGTTGGATATTTAATTGAGAAATGTAAAATTAATGTCCGCTTTATTACTTAATGGTTAAGCATTTATAAATGTTACAGATGAGTTTTAATTTTATGTAATGTTTGGAGTAATTTGTATTAATTTATGCACAATATTATAAGAATAAAATAAATTTTGATTCAAAATAAAAATAATTTTAACATTCATTTTCATAATTTAGTTAATATTTAGTTAATAATAAATATAATACGTTCAGGTAATATATTCCATTAAAAATTACCCTGAAACAAATAAATTATAATGTTTTAGTATATTTAATAAAATACAGTTTTTAATGTTTAATAATTATATAAATATTTAACTATAAATTAAAATAATATACATATCAATTATAAATCAAACTAGTATAATACTGAACTATTACAAATTAGCAGTAATAATTATTAATAAATAATAAATTAAAAATCAACCAAATTATTAAGTTATTCAGTCAGCTAGGAATACTAAAATATATATTTAAATTAATTATTTAATTTATCATATTTATTAATTTATACTAAAAGTATTTTTTTTAAATATTCATTGTAGAAATACCCGTATATATTTATGAACAATATTACTAAATTTAATTTTCAATCCAAAATAAAATTTTTAGATTAATTTTTTTTAGTTATTTTAAACCGTCTTTTTCTCTCGTCCCATATTTAAATTATTATGACAAACATAAAATACCATGTTTACTTGTATTTAATTAATACAGTTTCTTCAATGTTTATTAATTATATAAACAATTCAATATAAAATCAAATAAACTACAAATAAACAAATTATAAACCAAACTTACATAAAACTTTAATAATCCCCAAAAATTAACATAAAATTTTTAAAATTTATTTTTTATAATTTTTTTAAACTAATAATATCAAAATATTATTAGCATTGTTTTCTGGTCCACTTTAAACTTCTCAAGTTTCTCAAATGTATTTTAATTATAAATCATGAGTTAAAATAAATATACATTTAATTTATCAGCTTTATAAGTATGAAACTTTAATAATTGAAATTTTGCATAAAAAATATTTTATTATAATGATATTACCAGGTTCCAATTTAATAATTTATTAAATTCACACAACACATAAAACAAAAATTTATTTATTAATACAACTTAAAATTAATTCACTATCACAACTTTTAATTTATAATAAAAATTATATGTTGAAATACGCTGTAAATTAATTATCTAAAGTTATCGAAATTTTTATTTATAATAAGACTAGTCTTTGTCAATATTTATTGAAAACATACTCATATTTATTTATGCATAATATTACAAATTTTAAATTTTTTTAATCCAAAATAAATGTTAAAAAAAATATTTTTGTGTTTAATTTAAGCTAATCATTAAAATAAAAGTTCAGTGTATTGATTGATCCATTTTTAAATTACCATAAAAACATTTAATATCTGGATTACTAGTATTTCAATAATACAGTTTCTTACAAGAATATTCATTATATAAATAATTCAATATAAACTAAAATGATCTTTATATAAATTATAAATCAAATTAGCATGAGACTTAAATAATACTTAAATATAAAATAAAAATTTTAAATTTGATTGAGGTTTATGTTGTCACAAGTAGTCATTTTACAAACAATAAAATTTTACTTTTCAACTCACAATTTGCGACACAATTTGACCGATTATTGTCTTCGGTATTATTTGCGGACAAAAAT